AAGACTTACCTGTAAAATTTGGTGTCAATCCGAGTGGTTTAAGGGCGTTTTGACCCGTTAGGAGGAAATTTAGAACTTGAAGGTTCAATGATTTGAATCATTTAGTTTTGGGGTTGATTCCCTGATTTAGCGTTGTTTTAAGCGTTTCGAGGGCTCGAGTAGGTCCGCCTCGTGATTTCAGACTTGTCGGTATATTCGGGCGGGGCTCGGGAGCCCCGAGCGTCAAATGGTCGAGGTTCGAGTGAAATTGAAAACTTAGGAAAAACCTTATCTGCTGCTTCTGTCATAACCGCTTCTGCGGCTCTTGGACCGCAGAAATGAGACCGCAGAAGCGGTCATTTTATTGCAGAAGCGGAAGGGGCCAGGCCCAGGGGAAACCGCAGGAGCCGACACCTGACCGCAGAAGCGGTCCATCCGCCCAGGCCCAGAACCGCAGAAGCGGTGGGCTTTCCGCTTAAGCGGCCTCGCAGAAGCGAGGTTATGACCGCAGAANTTGGTCGTTTCAAAGAATTTGGTTGGAATGAGCCCTTCTTGTATGCAGTTGAGATCTGCACCTGTATCAAATAAGGCAATAATATCCAAGTAAAGGACTTGTTGACAATTAGGATAACTCTCATGTGCCATTTCCTTATGGAAATTCGGGAGAGGTGGTTGCAAAAAACTTCTTGTTCAACTAGCTTAACTTCAGTTGGTTTGAACCCTTCAGGTTTGGTAGAGAGTTGTTGGAGAACAAGACAGTCTAATTCTTGCCTAGCTTTAATTTCTCGAATTTCTTCCTTAAGGAATGCTATCTCAGATTGGAGATCTTGGATAGTTACTACCTTAGGTTTTTGGGAAGGGAATCTACTGAGGATATCAGTAATATTATAGGTATTGGCAACTTGAGGATGATTGGAAAAGACACTAGACGAAGATGTAGAAGGCTTATCAATTGTTCGTTTGAACTGCTCGAGATAGTGCTTCTTTTGTTCAGAATCTTGAAGATTGCTAATTATTTCAAGAAGAAGGTCTTGTTCTTTGGAGAGAACGTTAATCGTAGGTTCTTCTTGGATAGACTGAGATGAAGATGATTTCGCGTCATCATCTTCGAGTTGGTTAAATTGCTGTTCAAGTTCATCATCAGCAACATCGGAAGTGTCACTATCTTCTAATAAAAGTTGTTCAATCTGGTTAAGAACAGACTCATCTAAGTCAAGATTTCTAACTTTGTTAGACAACTTGCAGTATTTGGCTATATGGCCCGGTTTGTTGCACTTGAAACATTTGCCAGAATTGGGAGTTTTGAAGTTTGTTGGTTTATTTTTACTGGGATAGGTTTTTGATTTGGAAGAAAACGGTTTGGCCTTCCTAAACCTGGGTGTAGGAGACCTATATTTCGTAATCTCCATATCCTTGGTTGTTCGTCTTTTCTGAGGCTTTTTGTAACAAGGTGGTAAACCAAATTGTTCACAGAAACTACCTAGATCTCGACGAGTTTGTGCCCTATTTTGAGAGCGACATGTTTAATGAGACTTGTGAGTTGACCATAGGTGATTTGTTCGTAGGGAATAATATCACCAGAATGCTGATTTTGGAGTTCTTCTTTAACTAAATCTCTAAGAGACTTAGGTAGACCATCTAGGAATTTTTCTTTCCAATATGGGAGATTTCCATCAGGCTTCTCATAAATTCGTGTAAGAAAGGAATCTTTATACCATCAGAAATCAGAAAGGGTTTTACACTTAAGGTTGTTAAGTATCTCAAAAGATTTTTCCCTAAAGATACCCGGGCTTCCTATGAATGTTTTGATAATGGTATAAATCAGGGTGTTGGTTGAATCAGGAATGGTAAAGCCATCTTTAAGAATTGGTTCTCCTGTTGAATCAACTCGGACACTCAACAGAATTTGGTTCTTATCTTCTTCGCTAAGATGGGTATCCCACCATCGTCGGCTTGTCGGAGAACACTGACAGAAGACTCCTTAGTTGGAGTATCCTGAGCTATTAGTGTTTTCTCTATTTCTAGTATTCTACGCTGAAGGTCAGAGAACTGAGGATAGTCTTTAGCTTGGTGGATCTGAAGTTCTGTAGCAAAAGTTCTAGGGATCTCATAAGGTTTAAACCAAGGGATTGAAGAAGTAGGGGTATTTGTTGGCTTAGAACTAGATGCTGAAGTTGGTTTTGTAACCAAATATTCACCATTAGTTAGTTAATTCAATTGAAGGATACAATAGGAATGTTAGATAACCATAACCCTAGATCGTTTTCATTACATTGATATCATAAAAATCTGCTCTTTCTCTGTCCAAAGTTCATTATGAGCCTTTTGTGCTTTTCTTGATATTTTCTTGATGATTATGGATCGGGCCGGTCGCCTCGGTGATAATAGATGCATCTATGGTTCGTGTCGCTCGACCCTCGGCAGTGCATAATTTATTTTCTGTTGGAGCGGGCCGTCGACCTCGGCATGTTTGTGCATGATTTATATGCTTACATTTAGTTATGACATGATCACTCATTTGATATGAAAAAGGGAAAACTGGTAATTTAATTATGACAAGAACGTGAATATGACTCTTCTATTAAACGCGTGTTATTGGAGATCCTTCATGCTGCATATCTCACTTTATTATATTATATTATCTTGACCTTAGTAAGTATCAAGTCGACCTCTCGTCTCTACTTCTTCGAGATTAGACGGGATACTTACTGAGTACATGTGGTTTATGTACTCATGCTACACTTCTGTACTTAATTGTACAGGATTTGAGGCAGGTGGATCTGGACATCTTCCTGGTGCGCATCAGTGAGCACGCTTAGGGACTTCTACGGTGAGCTGCCTTCTCTCTCATGCCGATCCGCAGCCGAAGGAGTCCTTTCTTGTATTTTTGATTTCTGTCTATCCTGATTCAGACAGTAGGATAATGTTTCATTCTTTTTGTGTATATTCTACTGGTCGCCCGTAGCTTGTGCCACCAGGTCCTGGCACACACTGCAGTAGACATTCATTTTGGGGGTTGTATCGCTATTTTAGCACTTTATGATCTTTACTAGTTTTATCTATAAATTTGAAAATTCTAGTATCACTGTCTTTGGCTAAAGTAAAATGAGAACTTAATCACACATCCGCATTCGGCTGGCCTGACCATGGTGTTAGGCGCCATCATGACCTATTATGAAAAATGGGTCGTGACATAATAAATTATATATCTTCTCATATATTACAAAAAGAAAGCGAATACTAAACAATGGCTAATATAATAAAGAAAAATATAGAACAGAAGTTATTGGTTAATATTTTTGAATTTAAATATATATAAAAAATGAAAATAATAAAATAAAGTAAAAATTAACATATATATATATATATATATATATATAAAAATTAAAAGGAAGGGAAAAAACCCTCTCCTTAAGNAAAAAATAGCTATAAAAAATAAAAAAAGAGAAGAACTACCCATTCAAATCGGGAAGTAGTTTCAAGTTGGAATTTTAAAATAAAAAATAAAATTAAAAAAATAATGAATTACCAATTCAAATTTGGAGTAGTTTCAAATTGGAGTTTTAAAATTATTTTAAGATAAAAAAACGAAAATAAAGAAATTAAAAAACTTTCAGAGAAAAACATTAAATCAAGTAATATGCTAATAAATATTTCTATTAAAAATGTAATAATATTAAATATTAGATGATATAATAAAGAAAAATACATAACAAAAAATTTATTCAATGAGCTCCATGTATAAGTCCTGAAAGTTTAACAGAGATTTTATTCATTAAAATTTAGATAATATTATTAAGAACAACAGAATAAAATTTAAAAGAAAAAATATTTCATGAGTAATAAATTATATATCTTCTCATATATTACAAAAAGAAAGGGAATACTAAACAATGGCTAATATAATAAAGAAAAATATATAACAAAAGTTATTGGTTAATATTTTTGAATTTAAATATATATAAAAAATAAAAATAATAAAATAAAGTGAAAACTAACACACACACGTGCGCGCTCGCGCGCACACACACACACACACACACACATATATATATATATATATATATATATATATATATGTATATATATATATTAATTAGTTACTTTATTTGAATTAATAAATATAGATGTCTTATAATTAAATATAATTAAAAAATGAAAGAAAAATATATAAAATAATAACTACCCATTCAAATTGGGTGGGAGTAGTTTCAAGTTGGATTTTATAAGTTATCTTAAAATAAAAAAGCAAAAAAAAAAATTGAATTAATAAATATAGATATCTTATAATTAAATATAATTAAAAAAACGAAAAATAAATATAAAATAATAACTACCCATTCAAATTGGGTGGGCAAGTTGGAGTTTATAAATTATCTTAAAATAAAAATCGCAAAAAAAAAATTAGCTATAAAAAAAACAAAAGAAAGAGAAGAAAAACTACTCATTCAAATCGGGATGTAGTTTCAAGTTGGAGTTTTAAAATTATTTTAAAATAAATAAAACGAAAATAAAGACATAAATAAACTTTTAGAGATAAATATTTAATAAAGTAATATGTTAATAAAACTTTCTATTAACAATGTAATAATATTAAATATTAGATGATATAATAGAGAAAAATACATAACAAAAAAAAATTATTCAATGCGCTCCCTGTATAAGTCCAGTTAGTTTAACGTAGATTTTATTTATTAAAATTTAGATAATATTATTAAGAACAATAGAATAATATTTAAAATAAAAAATATTTCAACAGTAATAAATTATAAATCTTTTCATATATGACAAAAAGAAAGCGAATATTAAATATTGATTAATATAATAAAAAATATATAGAACAAAAAAATTATTCACTAACTATATAAATACCTTTGATTTAATAATAATTGAATTTTATTAAAGTAATACAATCTAATATTTTTTAATACTGATCGCGGCGCATGGGGGTACAACTACTAGTTATTAATTAAATCTAAAAAGGAAAGGGAGAGTAGTATTTATATCTTCGATCTCTCCGAAATCAAATCACAATACAATTCCGAAAATCGTCCCCCCAACCCTTTGCCGGAAATCCCTAATTTAGCGACCGGAAAATCCTAATTGTCGCCGGAAAACCCTAATTGTCGCAATGGTAGAGGTGCCTTCAAAGTGTGGGAGCAGCGAAATTGAGCGCAAAGCTGAGCCCAAGAAGAAAGCTGTACCTCATGTGTTTCATATCTGGGAAGAATCTACTCTTGCAGAGTGGCGACAGGGTAACCCTAATTTCCTAATAAATTTTCCTTAATCTTTATTTTTCTGGTGTTTATGTGGCGAGAGGGTACTGCTTTTATTTTTCCTTTTGAAATAATGGTAAAAAACACACTTGAAGTATTATTTTTTTTGGGAGTTTCCTACCTGAACTATCACCAACTATTTATCAAAACATATCTCGACTAGTATGTGTGACGGTGCGGTCTCTTTTTTTGTTTAAAAATAGCGCCAAATGGTACTCCATGCGGATAATTAAAGGAATTAATTGAAAAAATTAAAAAAAAATTAAGAGATAATGGTCAAAACACACCTGAGGCATCACTTTTTTTCTAGTTTCCAGCACCATCAGATACTTGTGAGGCGTGTTTTGATAAATAGTTGGTGATAGTTACTTCAGGCAGGAAACTAGCGAAAAAGTGATACTCAAGGCCTGATAAATAGTTGAGAATATTGCTTGGTCGCTGTTCATGCATACGACATGTTTGGTGATGTAGTTTAATTTGCACACAACGTGTAGGTCTATAACATACGGCATGCTTTTTGGGGCATGGCTCATCAACAATCACGGAAAAGTTATCTTCTTTGGTTGTGCTTTGCTGCAGGACGAGACCCCGGGTTCATTCGCCTGGGCTTACAGGTTTAACATCACAATACTATGTGATTATTCTTGCAATTCTTCTTTTTGATCCCTTTTTCCTTTGCTTTGCTACTCTGCTGATATCTTGCATTTTTTTCATTTATTCCTAGGCCTTTATTCGTTTATGAAAGGAAGATTTCGCGGACAATTATAACTGATATTGACTCTGGACTCCGAGATGCTATAAGAAGTGAACTACGAAACACAAAGCACATCATTTCTGTATGGAGTAGTAAGTTGTCTGGACTCTCCGAAAATGTCGTCTAGTACGTGTCGGATCCTCCAAAAGTAGTGCATTTTTTGAGGATCAGATAATGGTGCGGCAGCAATTTTTGAGAGTCCGCGCAACGTAGATGGAGTATCCTACCAAAAACATCGAGTTGGTTCTCTCTTTTGCTTGGACCAAGGTATACAGAATTCAGACCCGAGGTTGAAGTGTTATATCATTTAGATAGTCATAGCCCAGAAGATTTTGAATATCAGCGGAACCAGATGATTTCGCGGTTCGGGCTCAACTTTGATAAGCACATTTCTTTGCTCTTTTCTTTCTGGTTTAGTTGGGCAACATCTTATATAAGAGGCTGTTTTCATGCACAAATGTTATCGGTGTCTTTTGTGAAATCTGTAGATGCATTCTTGAAGGGATTTTTCAACATGCAGATATGTTCGCGCAGCTTTTTTGTGCAGGTATAAAAGGAAAGCTCATTTCTTCCTTTAGATATTTGAAGGATGAATGCTAAGTGGTATCATCTTTAACTGCAGCTCTTTCTAATGAGTTATCACTAGCAAAAGATCGCTTTGATTCACGGAGAACTTAGAAAAGACCTTATAAGAATCATCAATGATGTGAAAAATTTGCCAGCTACTGATGGAGTCGTATTGAATTCAACTACTCCACCTGCTAATACATTGCGATTTCAGCCTGCTTAACATAATTGGTTCTTTGTAACGACGAAAGACTTGGAGGAAGAGAAATAGTGCATGTTAGGATGTGACACAAAAAGAGATTGTACAGAATAGATGTGGTTAAGCTTGTTTTTCTCCTTGGTTCCTCAGTCCTTACACTGTTGTAGTTGCTTACTTGGTGTTTTCATAAATCTAGGTCCATAGTTTAGGAGTTATCAACTTGAGATTATATTTCCTTTTCAGTCCCTTGTAGCAAAATGTCAATAGTTTAGTGCTTGTAAGTTCTGTTATCTTGAAGAACATTTCTTCTGTTCCCTTTTAAGGATTTTCCCCCCTTTTAATAAGGATATATTAAAGACAGTGAGATGGTGCAGAATTACACTGAAGAGTTGTCGACTCATTTTGGGATACATCAGCTATGTTGCGCCAAGCCGCCTAAAATGATTTTGCACTCGTGTTGGATTCTCAAAAAATGCGTTATTTTGAAGGATCTGACACGTATCCGAGCAACATAGGATACGTGTGAAGGTGTAGCTTAATTAGAAAGTCCTTGTTTTTTGTTATAGGGCATTCGGTTCTCAGTTGCTTTCTACCATGAAAGTCTGTTGTTTAGATTACCTTATTAACAAAAATAGTAATTTCATCATAAAACTAGGTGCAGATTATAAAATGTTTGATCTGTGTACAAGAAAAAGTAATCGCTGTATTTTTTTTAATAAATTCTACAGTGCTAATAACCGCATAAGTTATGTGAGAATTTATATATTATTATATGCAAAATAGACCTGCGAGATGAGAATATAGTATTATGGTACATTGATAAAATTAATAACCACATAATTAAAGTAAGCAATTTTCACATCATAATCTTTATATTATTATTTATCGCATGAAATGGGGTGGACTAAGAAACAAATCGCTTACATACGCTGATATCTATCCTGTAAAATATTTAATTAAAATAACTACAATAAGTTTTTTTGATTACGTATTATTTTGTCTCTAAATTCTGGAATATATCCATTTTTAGCATTAGCTATTACCTTTTCTAGTAAGTTCTATACTCCTCTTGACCCTAAACCAAGTTGCCTGCACTAGAATTAATGGAATTAACATATGAAAGCTATTTACTTTCTGTCTAAGGAATCAAACATTATCCAACTAAAATAAATATTTGAAAGCTAACAACATGACTTCTAGAAAAATAACCAATTATGGATTATACATTAAGGGAGAAAAAAGAGACTTATGCAATTAAGGAAAAAGACAGAAGAAATACAAAGGAAGACTAATTTATGCACTTTCTTGAGCTTCATGCCTATTCTTTTTTTTTTTTTTAAACCACGTTATTTGATTAATTTATGCACATTTCAATTATTTTATTGAGTATCTCCTATCCTTTTTTTTTATTGGAGCACAAAATAGAATTTTTTTGCGCCCAAGACTTAGGCTGATAAAAGAAATCGTTGCCGTTTTTATTACCTTTCAGCGACTACACCCTTGGATGCGTAGATTCAGTCCTAATTTCTTCTTTCATCTTCCTTATGAATTCTTCAATCTTCTTATTGAGTTCTTCTGTGCTCATGTTTACTTCATTTCCTCCTCCTCCTCCTTCTTCTTCCTCTGATAAACATGCTATTTCTTCTACTACTCCAACTTCTTCTTCATTCTCTTTTGCTTCTTCCTTACCTTTGATTAATACATCTTCTTGTTCTTCATCAGGAGAAGTAGAAGAGGTGCAACTCAAGTTCTTGGCAAGAAATGCAAGAATAGCATTACAAAGTAGGAACATGTATTTCCTATCAAAGACATGTGCAAACAGTGGCAAAACAAGAGCTGAAAACTGAAAATTATAAGTGTAAAAGAAGGAGAAACCATAAGTGTAAGAAAGAAGAAAGGATATGAAAGATACTAGGACTAAAAACTGCAAAGTTTTCTTTATTAATTCATTGTAAATATTTGGTTTTCTAGCAGTTTGAATCATCTGGCTTCCATATTTGTAGTCATCCATCTTTGCCCTTATTTTCCTATAAACTCTTTGAAAAGCAGTAACTAATTAAAATCTCAAAGGAGAAAAAGGAGAGTTGAGTATAGACGAAGATATATGTCTTGTGTTTTGGAGCTTAGCTGGTTTACGCATGTATAGTATGGTCTTTATATACATTCAGACTTGTTCTCTATAACAGCATGTCAGCATCCCTGTATAACAACCATTTATTATAAAAGTTAAGTTTTTTCGGAACCGATCTTTTAATTTGTATTATAATATATATTCTCTATAACAACACTACACTATAGCATCCAAAAAATATCGGAACAATCGCAGCTGTTATAGAAAGGTTTGACATATGGAGTTTTAACTTTTTATTCATTGACATTGTACAAAAGTATAGTTCACACTAACATTTCACCTAAAAGATAATTATAGGTAATTGTTCACGAAAAATAGTTTAGTAAGCTAAAAAATAATGCATGTTATAACATGTTAAAATATATCAACAGTGAAAGATTACTTTACTGCATCAGTGTATATTTACATTCTCTTGTACAGTTTTTTCCAGTATAATCGCTGTATATACTTGATGCTTTTATTCCAAATAAATTTCCGATAAGACTAGAGATTTCTTTAAATAAAAAATTGAAATATTATTCAGGGGTACTTAGTTCCTATGAAATTGGAGAAAGTGGGGTGTATATGAAATGAAACGAGTAGCCGTGAAGTTTCTAGTGTTTATAAAGTTGATTCTCACCAGTTCTTGCATATTGCACTATACATATAAGGGACCTGAGTATAGATTAGCTCTCAGTAATAGTTTAGCTCTATTCCGACATCTAACATGTCGGTATATATAATTTAAAATAAATATAGTAAATATTAATTTAGCTCTAGTCAAATATGTTGGTCGCATGGTAAATACTTACCTGCAACCGATGTTTATGCCAAACCAAATAATTTAATTTTGATAGTTAAAAGTTAAAGTGAATATATATATATATATATCGCTTAACCATGGTTAAGTAAAAGACATAAAACTGCGGCCAATGGTTGATGTAAACATGGGGTGCGAATAAGTTTTTGAAAAATACTTTGAGGCCAAGAAGTGAATAGAAATACTATAAAAGTGCGAGGGGATGATAAACATTGGGAGATGTCATTTAAACTAGAAAGAATAATGTCTAGCCAAAATTTCACAAGGGTGCAACTCCCTTTTTCAAAAGCATATCATAAACTCTATCTACTTTAGTTGCTTCTATTTGGAACAAAGGATAAGCATCAGATTTTCTTGTGATATTGCCACTAAAAATTTGTATTGTAAGGACTTCCTGCATCCTAAGATAATGTTGAGGTGGTATCCTGATTTCTCGGCATAGTTGTTTCTCCTGCAAGCACAAAAAACAATAAAAGTTACATCTAAGAAATTAAACTGGTTGATGGCTGACCGGAATTGAAACTCTCGGAGACAAAAAACATCACGTGATTTTTTCCAGGGTTTGTTGAGCCAGGGGTCTATCGGAGACAGACTCTCAACCCTCAAGGTAGTGGGTGAGGTCTGCGTACACACTATCCTCCCCAAACCCCACTCGTGGAATTATACTTGGTTGTTGTTGATTATTTCCAGGGTTACCTGGTATCTACACTAGCTGGGGTTTTTTTTT